GGGTTTTGGGGAGGAAGGCCACAGAGGTGAAGCCCTTCTCGTCACATCCCATCCAGGCCAGCAAGGACAGCAGGACTCAGGGCTGGATGCCGATGCGGATCACCTGACTGAGGCTGTTCAGTGCTTCCCTCTGTCAGGTTACTCCTTTCCCCTCGCGTCCTGCACTTGTGGAAGAAGCTGCTGTGCCCGTTGTCCGCCCGGGTAGGGAGTAGGGAGTTGGGAGTTGTGTGCTGCCTGCTCGAGGGTGGAGCATCTTGGATACTTTTGTTAGTCTGCCTGGGAGGCTTGTCTCTTCTTTCCCATTTACTGATTTATTCACTCATCTGTTTGCATCAGCATGCGTTCGTGGAGATTTATTTTACACTTTGGGTTAGAATCCAGTACTGCTCCATTCTGGGGCTCACCTCCTTTCAGCTTTGGCCATCGGCAGCTTGTTAACTTGGCTCCTGTGCCCCTTGACATTCCCTTCATTCCTTCTTCATTGTAGGTGTTTTCTTGTTAGTGTTTTGTTTTGTTTTGTTTTTTTCTTTCGAGACGGAGTTTTGCTGTGTTGCCCAGGCTGGAGTGCAGTGGTGGGATCTCCTCTCCCTGCAACCTCCACCTCCTGAATTCAAGCAATTCTCCTGTCTGAGCCTCCAAAGTAGCTGGGATTACAGGCCGTGCCACCACACCTGGCTAATTTTGTATTTTTATTAGAGACGGGGTTTCCCCACGTTGGTCAGGCTGGTCTCGGACTCCTGACCTTGTAATCTGCCCGTCTCGGCCTCCCAAAGTGCTGGGATTACAAATGTGAGCCACTGCGCTCGGCCTGAGCACTTTTACTTTCATGGTGCTGCCAAATGCTTCTCCAGGCTCATTGTGCATGCTTTTCCCAGCCTAGAATCCACCGTTTCTTCTTGAATTGAAAAATGAGGTTAGAGATGAGGATGCTGTGGGCAGAGACTAGGATGTGGTGCCCCAAGACCAGGATGTGGTGCGCGGTGTCCTTCGAGCATGGGAAGAGCCCTGGCGTTAGAGACCAGGAGGCAGTGCGCAGAGGTCCCTGGTGTTAGAGCCCAGAATGCCATGCGTGGCAGTGTGCGGTGTCCTGCGAGCCTGCAAAGGGCCCCAGGCAGCTTTTCACCTGAACACGTTGCCTGGGAGCCCCGGCCTTCCTGTGCTGTTGCAGGTGCTGACTTCCATGGAGTTATTCGTCATGTTGCCTCCCTCTCTCCTTAGTAGTCGTTTCTGTAGCTTCTAGGAAAGAGGGAGAAACACAAATGTTCTTGACCTCCTCGCCCTTCTGATTTGGGATTGCTGTGGGAAGTCCCAGATCTCTGTCCATGCTCCCTGGGGAGAGCAGCGTGAGGAGTTAGATCTGGAGCCTCTCAAAGCCGACTGCCAGAGGCTAGAAGCTTCTTTCTTTAGCAACGAGTCTTTAAAGTTGGCTGCCTTAGGTCAGTCCCATTTCGCTGGTGCACTGGCTATTTGTGGGGCTGGTTTTATATTCTATTTTGCTCATTTCCTTAGATATTAGAAAGAAAATTTTAATGCTGATTTACTTTTATCCCTCAGTATTTTTTTGTTAGATCTTGTTTTTATGACTTTTTAATCCTTAGTGTGGTGCAGTGGCTTAGGCCTGTAATCCCAGCAACCTGGGAGACTGAGGTGGGAGGATCACTTGAGACCAAGAATTTGAGACCAGCCTGGGCAACATAGTGAGACCCGTCTGTAACAGTAAAATCAAATACGTTTTTAACCTGTAAGCAATAGAAATATACTTTCAGTCAATGTTTGATTAATCTGCATGCTGATTGTATTGACTCAGGGACATGAATCATCGCGATAGCGGGTTCTGTGGACTTGTGATTAGCGTGGTGGGAGGTGCAATCTTGCTGTGTTCAGGGTGCAGTGTGCACTGTTTTGGTCTTTCCCCAGCTGCCTGTGGGTGCCTCCGATGCCTGAGCCTTTTACTGTGTGCTTACCTGTATTGCCTTGGGGTCCTCAGTCGGGGAAGAGGAGAGACTGAAAGATGCGTCCTGCTTTTAAAACCTGTGTCCAGGAAGTGACACACCTCTCTCCTGTTGGAAGTCCATTGACGGACTCTGGCCACAGGGCTGTGTGTGCACAGAAGGGCTTGGGAAATGCAGGCTGGATGCACAGGGGCTCTGGGAGAGCCCTGTCGGCAGGGGAGTGGGCTGTGGGCTGCTCTGGCAGGGGGGCTTCGGGGTGCCTGCTCTTTGCACCTGCCTGCTCTTCTGTTTTCCTCCTGCTGAAGCTCTGACCACCCAGCAGCTCCTCTTTTTGTAAGTACATGACACTAACCCAGTTTCTTACTTACAAGGCCCGGGTCCTTGTGTGTTATGTAGGAGCATGAATGTCCATGGGAGAAAACATACTTAGGGAACAGGTGCTGGAGTTTTAAACAAAATCTGTCCATTTTTTCCTAATAAGTAGAAAGCAGAAAAAATTATTCGAAGTACTTTTGAGCTTGCTGTTGTTGAAATATTTTTCCTTGAGATAATTCATAAAAATTAGAAAATGAATGTCAGATTTTCTAAACTGGACTTGATAATTATTTTCAGTTATAAAAGGGGTGCCTACCTGGGGTGCAGAGTGTCACGTGGTGAGGCTGCCCTTTGGGTGGAAAGAGACGAAAGCTTGTTTGGTTCAAACGTACGTCAGATACTCTGATGGCGTTCATCCTCTCCCTGCCGTAGGAAACAGCTGGGTATTGCAGTGGGAGTGGGACTGGTCGGTGACTTGACCACACAGGTAACCAGTGCTGTGTCAAGATCTTGGGCTAAGAGGGGAGCCCAGGGAAAGCAGCACGCCTGGCCTGGTTCATGCCCGACCTGGAATGGGAGTCCCTGGAGGCTGGGGGTCCTGCAGTGCCCAGGATGGACTTCTCACTTGCTGAGCATTCAGTGCAGATTTCTTAGGTGCACGTTTAGTGGGTTTGGCCTGGGACATTTGAAAGTTATTATTATCTTTTTTTCAGACAGTCTCGCTCTTGCACCAGGTTGGAGTGCAGTGGTGTGGTCTCGGCTCACTGCAACCTCTGCCTCCTGGATTCGGGGGTTCTCCTGCCTGAGCCTCCCAAGTAGCTGGAACTACAGGTGTTCACCACCGCGTGTATCTAATTTTTGTATTTTTTGTAGAGATGGGGTTTCACCGTGTTTGCCAGGATGGTCTTGATCTCTTGACTTCGGGATCTGCCCACTTCGGCCTCACAAACTGCTGGGATTAGAGGCGTGAGCCACTGTGCCCGGCTGACATTCGAAAGTTACTTAAACTCATCTTTGGAGGGTTGGTGCTTGCTTCTCCTCAGATTGTCTGTCAGCGCCTCTATGTGAGTGGAGGGTTAGGCAGAGAACGGAGTCACGTCTGTTCTTCATCCTGTGATCGTGTGTGCCCAGCAAGCACCCACAGTGGTATCTGGAGTCACCACTGCAGCTCCTGTGGCTCTCATGCCATGTTGTTTCCACGTGTGACAGCTTTCATGGAACCTGACCGCAGCCGCAGACCGAGACCCCCCACCCCGGCGTCTCAGCTGCCTGTGCCAGTTTGTTGGAGGTGGCCTCAGATGCTGACCTCTGCTGCGAGGGCTGTCGGGTTCTGCTCACTGGCTGTGTGACTCAGATGTTCTGCTGCTCTGAGGTGCAGGCTGGGCCCTCGTCCTGGTGCCGCTGCAGTCTGGTCCTGAGTGTTGCCCTCCCATCCCTCCCTCCGCCCTGTGTGAACGTCTGCACCGGACCATTGCGTAGTTTTTAAAGGCTCTGCTTCAGAGTGACTTAGTTTTGTTTCCTTTTGTAATGAAACATGGCAAATGCAAACTTGTGAAAATAGTTTAAATCCTGCATTTTTCCGGAAGATTTTTCATTTTATGTTTTACCTTGGTGGCTTGTTTTGCATGTACTTGAACAAAGCCTCTTGACATAGGACATGTACCAGGTTTTGCTGTGTTGCTTTAGGTGTCACCAATAACAAGTAGAGGAGCTTAAAAAATAATACTTTTGAGTGAAATGCAGTTGATGATGCTTTTATTTAGGAAAAGCTGCTGGTCCTTTGATTTCCGTGGGTGTGACATGGTGCTGTGGGGACAGTTACAGTCGTGATGGCAGGCTGGATTTTCTTGGGTGTAAATCACAGAAAGGCAGTCTTCCCAGGTTGATTTTTGGAGAGTGACATCCAGGAATGGTGTTTTATTCTCCGTGATAACCGCTCTGTATTCCTAGTGCTAGATCCTTCCCCGTGCCACCCTTCCACCACAGAGTGTACCGTAGAAATCCCTTGACTGAAACGAAAGTGCTAAGGCTCAAAAACTCATGATGGGAAACCATGGGTGAGTCTGTCCTTTGAGGTGAAGCTGTGTGACCGCTGCTTGTCTAAACACACTAGCGCTTCCTCCAGGGCGGCGCCAGGTCTGGTGGTTTCTGGGCATAGCCTGTTCTTTTGTAGAATCTTTTCCTTGGAAGTAGAACCCTGAGCCCTTTGGTTGTAACTCACACCTGTTCCTGTAGAACCTAGAGGTAGCGAGTATGTGTCCTTCCATCCCAAGTCCAGTGTGATATTTGGCCCTTTCTTCCCAGGGTGCCACCAGTTTGGAATGATACCAACACTGACATGGTTACGAAACTTCGATCTGTCCCACAGGAATTGAGCTGGGATAGAGTGACTAAAAACGTTAAGCTGGTTTTCATGCAAGTGTGCCACCTCAGAAGCTTTATTAACTGGGGATGATAACAGCTCGTGCTGTCTCAGTCTAATCCGTATCACACATTCAGTGTCAGCCCAGCTGTCCTGTGCTATCCAGTTGTACAGACAAAACACCAGCAATTAGGAAAGTTCAACTCTGTTAAAAAACCCCATCTCCAGTTTATTCTTCCTTAGCGTTTGGGGCTCCTTCCCGCAGTGCGGGTCCCTGGGAGCGGACTGTGTTGAATGACTCTTATGTGCTCTTACCATGAATGTTGTTGTTTTAAGGCCTTCTTTTTCTTTGTGATTCTTTTGTTCCCTAGCGTCGTCCCCCAGACTACAGTAATACTCAACAATGATCGGCAGAACGCCATTGTAGCCAAGATGGAAGACCCCTTGAGCAACAGGGCACCGGATTCCCTGGAAAATGTCATTAGCAAGTCAGTAGCACGGCACCAACCCTACCTTTCCCTGTCACTGTGAGGAGTCCTGTGAGAATAAGTCAACGTCCCCAAGCCGGGCACAGTCCGGCACATGCTTCATCTCTGTGGTCACAGGGTTGAGCCTGGCAGGCACTGCCCCAGCTCTCTGAGGTCGGGGGGGCAGGCTGGGTGGAGCTGAGTGCTGAGTCCAACCACACCGGGGCGGCTGCCGCTGGGGACTTCTGTGTCCCTTGCTGGCCGGGTTGTGAAGGGGGCTGGCTCTGTCTCCTCACAGCAGTCGGTGAAGGCGCTCATCCTCCCACCTAGCTCAGTGGTACTCGTCTGTCTGTCTGTGCAGAAGCGTGTCAGGCAAACAGACGCCCTCTCCCACGCTTGCTAAGTGGTGCAGGCATGTTGAGTTTATGACTTTTTTCCTATCCTTTTTTCTCTTGAGACATTTTGAGTGGAGCTTCAGAGGTGGGAGTGGATGAAAGACACCGTCCCTGCCCTGCGTGAGGGGAGGGCCAGGCAGTGGCCTCTGGCTGCATCTGGGCCCTGCTCTCCAGGAAGGCCTCCTGGGCTGCATGAACCCCCGAGGGTGCTGGCACTTTTTGTTTCCCATCTGTCTCTTCACAAAGTTCTATTTTGCTTTTTCTCTGAGTCTCCTTTGTGGATTGCTCCTCCTCCAGCTTTGTCCCTTTTCCTTGTTGTCTTAGCTCTGTTCTCCAGGGCTGCAGCTGTGGTCACGAGGGCCTGATACGTGGGGGCGAAGGGAGAGGAGGTGGCGATGGGCGGAGAGGTGGTGGCAATGGGCGGTGAGGAGCTGCCAGGGTCAGCTGTGCCTCTGGGGCTTGGCGCTCAGGTCAGCCGGGCAGGTGCCCAATGTTGAGGATCAAGTTCAGTGTGGACAGCACTCCAGAGAATCCAGTCCAGAGAGTGCAAAGTGCAGCGCCCTCCTCTGGGTACAGACAGTGTTTGCAACACCCTTCTTTTTTTTGACTTTGTGAACAGAAAACCTGTGCTCCTTTCTCCTCTCCCGGTGCATAGCAGTCCACGGTAGAGGATGTCGAAAGGGTCGTTGAAAAGGGAAGTAGCAAGTCTGTACGTCATCCTTTTTTTGAGCACGTTGTGGAGCTGGCCTCGCCCGGCTTTGCGGGCAGCATTCTGTCATTCCACATTAGCAGCTCCTGGGATGACAGCAGCTCCCGTGGGATCTCAGTTGGTTTTTGAAGCCCCCTTCAGGGTTTTTTGCCTGTGGGAATACTTGGGAGTGATGCTTGTGTTGCAGAGGCGGAGTCATTTCCAGGGAGCCTCGCAGCGTGGGTCCAGCTGACCCAGGTCTCTGAGCACGGTCTTCCGAATTTAGTCTTTCCTTTAACATGGCCTTAAAAAAGACTCTTCTTCAAGTGCCCGCATTCTGTAGGATGACCTCTGAAATCAGAGGGCAGCATGCTGGGCCTGAGTCTCAGTGAGTCACGATTTTACTTCTTTCATGATATATATGTTTTCTTTAAATGGTTAAGTTTGACTTTATACAGTTTCTTTCAGCCCCAGGCCATTTTCTCCTATGGAGTTGCTGTTAATCTTGGTAGAGAGCGCTGTCTGGGAAGGCCATGTGATCCACTGGTCCCCGCAGAGTTAGGTTTTGTGATGAGTTAAGGAAAGCGCGGAACTTGGCGTGCTGGGTGTGGCTCTCACCGCATTGGGCTGGTGTGTTTTTTCCCGTTCAGTGCTGTGCCTGGGCGTCGGCAGAACACCATTGTGGTGAAGGTGCCGGGCCAAGAAGACAGCCACCACGAAGACGGGGAGAGTGGCTCGGAGGCCAGCGACTCTGTGTCCAGCTGCGGACAGGCCGGCAGCCAGAGCATCGGGAGCAACGTCACCCTCATCACTCTCAACTCGGAAGGTGTGTCCCATGCGTCTTCTGTCTGTGGCCAGAGCAGCAGTAGGAATGTTTCTGTTTGTTTTGCTTTTTTAGGAATTAATATATGTTTGTTGTTTTTTAAAAAAAACGATACAGTATAGGCCAGGCTTGGTGGCTCACGCCTGTAATCCTAGCACTTTGGGAGGCTGAGGCGGGTGGATCATGAGGTCAGGAGCTCAATATCAGCCTGACCAAGATGGTGAAACCCCGTCTGTACTAAAACTACAATAATTAGCTGGGCATGGTGGTGGGTGCCTGTAATCTCAGCTCCTTGAGAGGCTGAGGCAGGAGAATGACTTAAACCCGGGTGGCAGAGGTTGCAGTGAGCTGAGATCGCACCACTGTGCTCCAGCCTGGGCGACAGAGTGAGACGGTGTCTCAAAAAAAAAAAAAAAAGAGTGATACAGTATAAAAATGAAGAAAAGGAAATTAATTCCACCAGTTTGAGATCTCTAAACCTTTTGGAATTTTTCTGTGCACATTTCTTGATTTTACAACTCCCTTCCTTCCCTTATATGGCAGAAATCTTTCCACATTGGTGCAGATGGACAGGGTCGTTTTTAGGCAGTTTCACTTATTGTATCAGCTCTGGATGCTTTCAAGGATGGCCCCTGTAACCTTTTGTTACTGACACTGGCATCGGCCTGCTGTCTTTCCGTGTCTCTCAGATGAGTGTCTGGACGTGGGCTCTCAGAGGTGGCTCTCTGGGATAGAGAACTCAGCTTCCACGGGGCCTGTGGCGTAGGAGGCACTGCCTCCTTCCACCAAGATCTGGAAGGTTGTGAACCTGTTCGTCCCACCTGGATTCCCAGCAGGGGCTTCTCTCCTGCAGGCTCTGACCTGTCCTCCCTCCCAGCTCTGCCCGCCCAATGTGCCTTTCAGAGGCCTCTTCCCCGCAGAGCCTGTGTGTGCCCTTTATCCTGTCTCCTTAAGTGACCAGTGACTGTCAGTTACTACAGCGTGGAGAAAAGAAAGAACCCAGACACACCCAGCTTTGTGCGGGCAGTAGTGAAGCATGGGTTTTGTTTACTTACTAGGAAGAAGTCAATTTTTTTCTGCTTCTGTGTGTGATTTTTCGTAGCAACTCAATGTCGATTTGTTTATTGAACAAAGGTTTTCCTGTTAGGAAGACTCATTACCATATCTGAAACATTGAAAATACTGTTCTTCACAAAAATTGCTTTTACCTCTAATACAGAGTGCTAGGATTCAGATGGCAGAATGGTGGGAAGAGACAGAGCTTAAGTTGATCTTTTCTTTCCCAAGTTGAGATCTAATTTATACCCTAAAATGGACCGTTTTAAAGCATACATCTAAGTGATTTTTAGTATATTCACAAGGTTGTGGAGTCATCACTTCTAATTCTAGAATATATTTTATTACCCCCAAAATAAGCCCCGTATCCATCAACAGTCATTTTCCATTCTCCTAGCCTCCAGACTCTGGCACCCACTTGCCTCCGTCTATCCCTATGGGCGTCCCCATTGTGGACCTTGACTATAAATGGAATCCTGTAACTTCCACATTGTAGCTTGCCTCAGAACATTGTTCCTCTTAATGGCTACATGATACGCCGAGGTACAGACGGCCCATGGTCTGTTTCCCCGTCGTCAGTAGGTGGACATTTGGGTCATGATATGTGAAGGTATGGACGGCCTATGTTCTGTTTCCTCATCGTCAGTAGGTGGACGTTTGGGTCATGATATGCGAAGATATGGACGGCCCATGTTCTGTTTCCGCATCATGAGTAGGTGGACGTTTGGGTCATGATATGTGAAGGTATGGACGGCCCACGTTCTGTTTCTGCATCATGATTAGGTGGACGTTTGGGTCATGATAATGCGAAGGTATGAACGGCCCACGTTCTGTTTCTCCATCATCAGTAGGTAGACATTTGGGTCATGATATGCGAAGGTATGGATGGCCCCCATTCTGTTTCTGCATCATGAGTAGGTGGACATTTGGGTCATGATATGTGAAAGTATGGACGGCCCACGTTCTCTTTCCACATCGTCAGTAGGTGGACGTTTGGGTCATGATACGTGTCGGTATGGACGGCCCACATTCTGTTTCTCCATCGTCAGTAGGTGGACGTTTGGGTGATGATACGCGAAGGTATGGACGGCCCACATTCTATTTCTGCATCATGAGTAGGTGGACATTTGGGTCATGATATGTGAAGGTATGGACGGCCCACATTCTGTTTCCACATCGTCAGTAGGTGGACGTTTGGGTCATGATACGTGATGGCATGGACGGCCCACATTCTGTTTCCCCATCGTCAGTAGGTGGACGTTTGGGTCATGATATGCGAAGGTACGGACGGCCCACGTTCTGTTTCTCCATCGTCAGTAGGTGGACTTTTGGGTCATGATATGCAAAGATGTGGATGGTCCACGTTCTGTTTCTCCATCGTCAGTAGGTGGATGTTTGGGTCATGATACGCGAAGGTATGGACGGCCCACATTCTATTTCTGCATCATGAGTAGGTGGACATTTGGGTCATGATACGTGAACGTATGGACAGCCCACGTTCTGTTTCCACATTGTCAGTAGGTGGATGTTTGGGTCATGATATGTGACGGTATGGACGGCCCACATTCTGTTTCCCCATCGTCAGTAGGTGGACGTTTGGGTCATGATACGTGACGGTATGGACGGCCCACATTCTGTTTCCCCATCATCAGTAGGTGGACGTTTGTTTCATGATATGTGAAGGTATGGACGGCCCACGTTCTGTTTTTCCATCGTCCGTAGATGGACGTTTGGGTCATGATATGTGAAGGTATGGACCTCCTACGTTCTGTTTCCCCATCGTCATTAGATGGACATTTGGGTCATGATACATGAAGGTATGAACGGCCCACATTCTGTTTCCCCATTGTCAGTAGGTGGACGTTTGGGTGATGATAATGCGAAGGTATGGACGGCCCACGTTCTGTTTCTCCATTGTCAGTAGGTCGACGTTTGGGTCATGATATGCGAAGATATGGATGGCCCACATTCTGTTTCCCCATCATCAGTAGGTGGAGGTTTGGGTCATGATACATGACGGTATGGATGGCCCACGTTCTGTTTCTCCATCGTCAGTAGGTGGACGTTTGGGTCATGATATGCAAAGATGTGGATGGTCCACGTTCTGTTTCTCCATCATCAGTAGGTGGACGTTTGGGTCATGCGAAGATATGGACGGCCCACATTCTGTTTCTGCATCATGAGCAGGTGGACGTTTGGGTTATGATATGTGAAGGTATGGATGGCCCACGTTCTGTTTCTGCATCATGATTAGGTGGACGTTTGGGTCATGATATGCGAAGGTATGGAGGGCCCACATTCTGTTTCTTCTTCGTCATTATATGGAGGTTTGGGTCATGCTATGCGACGGTATGGACGGCCCACGTTCTGTTTTTCCATCGTCAGTAGATCGACTTGTCGGTTGTTTCCACTTTTTGGCTGTTGTCATTTAATGCCGCTGTGAACAGTTAGGTAGCGGTTTTTCTGTATTTATGAATTGCAAGGTCAGAGCAGTGAAATTTTTCACACATGAAATTTGAGGAAAATAGGGATTCTGCTGATTTCATCTTAATGGAATTTGGAAATCACATTGCAGTAACGACAGACTAATTGTTCTAACTATTTTTCAATGTGGATTTTGTGTAAATCCCCACGTAGATCTGGCCACCGCCTTAAGGCATTGTTTTTGTTTGGTTTAAATTGTGTCAGCTAAGGCACAAAAAACTTGGTAATTCTGGGGAATACACCGTCATAAAAACCAAAAAATTTAAAATCAACTTAGGAAAAGATATCAGATTTGGAGCCTACTTAGTATTAGTCTGTATATATAAGGAAGCATACCAATATTCTTTGTATCTGAGTTTAAGTTCTTTTGATGTTTTGTGTAAGACAGTTTTCTTTAGCAAAGTGTTTTGAGCTGAGTCTTTTAGCCTTATTTACCACTGCTTGTTCTCATCAAACATAATTTTCATGTATAACACAGGTTGTAGGATTGGGTAAACTAGAGAACTTTTTCTAATCTTAATTTTTACTTTATTTTGAAGACGAGGTCGTCATCTAGAGCCATTCTATTGTCACATTCATTAGGAGGAAACATTGTATAATCAATCTCTTTCACGGACTCTGTCCTTGGGAATGTATATTCCAGCGGGGTCAGTGTTAGGAAAATAACAGCTTGAGCTTCATTATTTGACATAGTAACTTCGTGAAAATTACACACAGACAGAGGAAGTCATCTTTAAATGATTGCTGTATATGTGAATGTTGGAGAAACAGCCAATCCATTCATGTCTCTTCCTTCAGATTCACTGTCAGTCCACAGGGATGTCATCTGGTCAACATTTCCATGAGGTTCGAACATGCCGAGAATTGGGCCGGCAGCTTCCCTTGCCTCTGCCCCCTCTACCCCAGAACAACTGGGCAGGGGGTGAGTCAGCAAGTTGATGTGACCGAAAGCATGATGAAAATGGAAGTGCTAAAGCGGGATGCGCTTGTCTTTCTGTTTAGTCTTTTTAGGCCCTGATAAGAGGCAGGAGCCACAGGAGACAGATTGTTCTTATCTTGTAGAAGTATTTAAGTGCCTTCCTTAAGTGTTAGAGAACCACAGATTTCAAAACGGTTATTTCTTAAGAATTCCAAATGGCTTATATGAATTGATACACTGTTTTATATCAAATTTGGAGTCAGTTTATTGTACTGCAAAGATAACGTATCATTTTATTGTAGGTTTTTACTTAGGTAATTTCATTTATCATGACACACATTCCATTGGAATCAGAAGGAAGGTACCTCCTGACTGTTGGGAGTGTGAACGGTAGACCGTGTCTCATTGGAATCAGAAGAAAGGTGTCTCTTCACTGTTGGGAATGTGAATGGTCGACTCTGTCTCACTGGAGCAGGAAGGAAGGTACCTCCTGATTGTTGGGAGTGTGAACGGTAGACTGTGTCTCACTGGAGCAGGAAGGAAG